CAAGTGATGTTTAGCAATTCCATAAGATGGGAGCGACTGGAGGCGAATAACTTGAAGTCATCCATATAGAAAAGGTGGGTCACTTTTGTCCCTCCTTTCCGTAGCTGAAATCCCCTCCCGGATCCCTCCAGTAAGGTACTGAGAGGGTTCAGAGAGAGAGTTATTATTATTATTATTATATCATCCCGTGGATATCGTAAGATGCGACATAGGGAAACAAATCATGAGATGGGCAGTAGCGTCTTCGTAATAACGATTAATAACAAAAAAACTGCGGTTGCCAACCTTCTTGCCAAGCGTGGCAACTATGGCAAATATCCCTTCTATTAGGCAATCTATGGGAGGCCTATGTTCAGTAGTGGACTTTTACAAGCTGTAACCTTAAAACAATCATTGGGCTGTTCTCGGAGTTACCCTGCACGATAAATTTCGAAATGAGGATATCCGCAGTAGAACAAGAGTGATCGACACAGCTCATCGGATCAGTACGCTAAATGGAAATGGGCCAGACATATAACTCGAAGAACCAACAACCGATAGGGAAGGAAAGTTTTCGAGTGGCAGCCTCGTTCCGGTAAACGAATGGCCCCACACTAAATGAACTGACGACCTGCTAAGAGATGCAGGAAGTCAATGAATGCAGGTGGCTCAGGGTCGTGCTTTGTGGATTCCCTTGGGGGAGACCTATGGTTCAGCAGTGGACTTGTGAAGATGTAATGATGATGATTTATTTGTCTGTTCTAAAATATCGTTCGAACTATCTGTACCCATGTAATACATATTTCTAAATGTTTTTAGAGGATAAACTTATTGTGTATTAATTTTAGTTTATCTTTTTTTTTTCTTTTAATTGCTACACCTACGACAAACTCTCACCACTCCATGGGTTGACTAGTGGAGAATGCCTTTAGGCATTAAGTCCGCCCTTTGTATCCATTTTCTTCTAAGGGGACGCAATAAACATTTTTAAATAAATAGAATAAAGCATAGAATACTATAATACATGCATAATAGAACGGGGGAGTGGGCGAAGCCCGTGTAGCCACTAACACGTCAATTCACACGCATAAATGTCAACACAATCAATCGTTTCCAATTTCTGGTCAAGTGTCGCTGCATGCAAATTATTTAAAAAATGGTAAATTGTGCAATAATTACGTGTGAAAAGAACAGCGGGAAATGAAATTTAAATAAAGGAGACATATTCTACAACCAGTACGTCGATACTATTTATATTTTGTGAATATTAGAAACAAAAATAAAGAAACATTTATGTGACAAAAACAATAATTAAAAGTCTAAAATGTGTTTGTAGTAGTGATAACTGATAATAAAACGTAATTGCTTGTATGTGTGCTCTCGGCGACGCCAATCCTCCTACAAAGTAAGGATGACAGTCATTCTATTGTGTATTATAGTATTCTATGGAATAAAGTTACGTGATGGCTCCCTACATTATAGTAATACGCTTACACATTAAACATTTAGTTCAATTAAACGTGAAATAAAGTTTGGTACATATACAATATTATATATACCAACTGTGTAGTGGCGGTGTGGGAATATCCAGTACCCCATATCATTCTGTTAGTGCCGTAAAAACCGACAGAGGGAAATGGAATGGAGATGAGGAGATGAGCAATAATATCTTTCTGATAATATACAAAACTAAAAAAACAATGCGGTTACCTACCCGCCAGTTGTAACAACCATGGTAAAAACTTACGAGGCAAATTTATGATGGAGGACTATGTTCAGCAGTGGTTTTTAGATAGATAGTGATGATGAGGATGACGATGATTACACAATATACAAGAAACTTTCGCTCAAATAACGGTTTTCGAATTTCGATGAATTGAGTAGGTACAGTTTTTATTTTTTTATTTTATATGTATAGGGTGTCAAACGAGCACACAGTCCACCTGATGGTAAGTGTATACTGTGGCACATAGACACTTACGTCTATCCTCGATTAGGGATCACAATGCAGTTGCGTTGTCACCCGTGAAGACTAAGATGAAATTACTTGTTTCCAGTAAAAAGGGTCTCCGGTTCTTTACACTCAACACACAAAGCACAGCGGCGTTAAGCTGCTATTTTACACCGGTATTCTGTGTAAGCGTGGTACTTCCCCGGTCGAGCCGACCCATTCGTGCTAAAACTATACTACTTATATAGCTGCAACATGGCTCTATCACGTCAACCAGTCCAGCGACCTACTTATCCATAAACGTAAAAGGTATAAGATGATATCAAGTGAATATTTTTATCGATATTTCACTGTGCTTGGCGGTGAAGGGAAACGGAACCTATATATCTGAGAAATACTAATATATAACAAAGAAATTATATAACATTTCCCAATATGAATGCTTAAGTGTTAGTAATTTATAATCGTTTAGTTGCAACAAACTGTTACTCACTATTTAAATTAATCGTCCGGAAGCCAATAATAACGGCATTTCATTGCAAAAGCAACGCACCAGACCATTAAACGACTATTACAGCCTGTTACATAATCACGAACTTATTACGGAGTTTTAATTTGTGTATAATCTACAATCAAACTTTTGTAATGTTTGTGGGATCTATCTACAATCACAATTTGTTACTTCAATGCCAAATAAATATTTTTATCTAAATTATATACTTATCTTTATATATATAAATCTTCTGTGTGTATAACTGAACTCTATACGGCTGGACCGAGTTTGATGAAATTTTATGTGTTATTAAGTTGATTTGAGAATGGTTTAGATTCACAATTGACCTGGTAGGTGGCGTTGATGTCAGATCCAGAAATCACCCGTGAGAAGCCGGGGCGGATCGCTAGTTACCTATAGATTTAAAGAATTTCTATGTCCGCGAATAAAAATATATAAACAATGGAAACGTTTATATATACCAGCTCACAGAATACCAGCGTCAAATAGTAGCTTAATGCTGCTGTGTTTCGTATGGTGAGTGTAGAGAACCGGAGACCCTTTTTACTGGAAACGAGGCATTCCATCTTAGTCCTCACGGATGACAACGCGTCTGCATTTTGATTCGTAATCGAGGATAGATGCAGATGCCTATGGGCCACAGCAACTACTTACCATCTGGTGGACTGTGCGCTCGTTTGTCATCCTATCCTATAAAAAAAAATATGACTCACGGGACAATGAAATTACTTAAAGTGAACCAAAACAATTCTTAAATGTTCTAGGATACTGCCATTCTAACCCAAAATTATAATTTATGTCGTGCATTTGTTGGACCTAAACAGGTACGACTGTAGGACTATTTAAGAATACGTGAATAAGTGTTTGCTGATTAGCTGCCAAATTTTTCCTAATGCTCTTCATACGTGAATACTTTTTGATACCATATTGGGCTCCTCTGAGCACGAGCTGAGCACAAGCTGAGTCGTTCTAATCGCGGTGTCAATAAAGTTGTTCAAAACGACTATAAATCAATAGCACGCTACAGACTATAAACTAGAAATTTCTAGCGCGCTATTAAATACGCTATGTTATAGCGCGCTATTTATAAAAAATTGTGTAGGAGGCCGGCAAGCGCATTAAGTTTAGCAGCACGCTATATCTCGGAGCACGCTACATTACATGTTGTTCATTGAATAGACCGCGTGCTTTATAAGAATATTGTTTCGTAATAAGTCGCATTTTAGATTAAAATAAAATTAAGTGGTAAAGAAAAATCAATGAACGCTCATTCATACTTTTCAGGCTTACGACTTTCTATAACCCTAAAAATATTTTTTAAGCGTGTACTTTTTAAAACAAAACAAAATTAATCATTTTTTATTATAATTGATGTAAACGTTATTTTAACCTTAATATAAATTATAATACAATTAAAGGTGTATTTAAAAGTTATTGATTGTATATACCTACAAAAATCCACTATTTACAAACACTATTATATACACTTTTGTATCTATATTTTATTCACATTTAAAACATTGGTTAGGCTTCTTTTGTAGCAGACAACTGTGTCCTTCGATCACTTATAAATATATAGTATACACTAACTAAATAACGTCTAACACTAAATTAGTTCGCGCGCGATGAATAGCGTGCTGCTAGATTAAATTTGCGTCACACGTCTACTCCCAACAGCGCTGCTGCTAGAACTAGTCTAGAACTAACTGCCGCTTCATATGAATAGCGTCATAGCGTCATAGCGTCATAGCACCATGGCGACTACTTACATAACACGCACTATGCGTTATGAAGAGATAGCGCGCTATAATATGGTGCTATGCGCTATATTAACCACCATTAGGTGTCAAGTGTAGACGTCCACCGTGTGAACGTGTGATTAACAATGTATGGTGCGCGATATTGTTGTGCTATGAGCTATATGCTATTATATTATAGCGTAGTCTGAAAGCTTTTACTTTGGTTGTTGTTACCCGTGCAGATACAGATTGTATTAGTGTGCGTAGGCGTCGGGAGCGCTCAGTTACGATCGCGAGTCGAACGAATCACATAGTAAGGGAGGCAGCGACCGAAATTTTCCACCCATTCCTACAAAGCTAATTTTTTCTGTAAAGCAACGTTTATACCGTGTAAATAATGAAAGTGAAAGTCTACCAAGCTTTTAGTGTTGCAAACATTAATAACAATTTTTTGAAATCTGTAAATACGTAATATATTATACCTACAAGGCTGAAACTTCTTACAGTGACCAAGGATACATAAATGTACACTATAACGAAAGTCTACCGCCTCGAAAGCGTTGCTATCTAAAGTCTAACCCACGTAATGTGTTGAAAAATTAACTTTTTAGACTTATTTCTACTAGGATGATTTTATTTCTCAAATAGGTAGTTAGGTTTATAAAAGAACAAAAAAAGACTATGAACAAAAGAAGAAAATGTTGCTAAAACCTTGGTAGACGCGATGGAATACACTATCTCCCGAGCGCAGCTACTAAGCCCATCCGCTATAAGTTGCTTTGAATAATTGGACATATTATCGGCATTAAATTAAAATCTACAAAGCTGGTTTTTCGTCTACAAGTGGTTGCGACGTGCAACGTGGGTGGTAGACTTTAGATGGCAACGCTTCCGAGGCGGTAGACTTTCGTTTTCCTGTATATTTGGGTATCCTTGGTGACTGTTAAAAGTTTCAGTCTTGTAGGTATAATTTCTTAATTTTTGTAGGTACATTTACGTATTATTTATTTACAGGTTTCAAAAATTGTTATAAACGTATGTAACAACATCGGCACGGTAGACTGCCATTCTGTTTACGTACGATCTCAAAATAACAGAATAACAAAGAATCAGCTTTGTAGGAATAATCGCACAAATAGTGTCGCTGCCTCCCGGACCAACAGTTAGGCCGTTATCCGACTTGTGGGTGCGGGAGCAGTGCGGGATCTTTAATGCCTGTCTGTGCCGAAACGATACCGCGTTGCCTTCAGCTACTATATTTGCCATAATTACCACGCGGGGTGGCTACCGCTGTTTTTTTAGTCGTTATAAGGAAGACGCTGCCGCTCATCTCTTGATTTGTTCCCCTCTGTCGCGTCTTACGACACCTACGGGATGATATAAGGTAGTGGATATTCTTACACTGCCACTACACGGTTGTTATAATATTTAAGTTCGATGTGCGAATAATTAAGTGTAAAATCTACAATAAAATAAAGTACAATCGAATACACAAAACTAAATCACTCGCAATATACAAAGAGTAAGGACACACGTTCTGTTACTAAACCAGTTAATGCTTTAGCTATATTTTAAATAACGTTAGTTACGTTAGTTTATAACACATACACATACATACATAATTGGTTAATAACAAGAATAGGGTCATTTCCTATATGGTAGGGATAGTGACAATGAACAAATTAAGAGACGACAGAGGAAAACAAATCTGAAGATCAGGAGAGAAACAACTAAAAATAAAATACTGCCTTGCCAACTCACTTGCCAAGCGTGGCAACAATGGCAAATTCAGCAGTGGATACGCTGTGACGGTAATGGTAACCTAGTACCTAGGTGGCTAGATACTTAGGTACTTAGGACTTCTTCTCTGTCATGGAGTCCATCTGGGTATCCATCTGGGTGGTAGATACCACCCTATTTCCGGGGCCAAATAGCAGTGCGTACACTGCAGTGTTCTGGACTGTAAGTTCATACGTTACTACAATTTTATTTTAAAAAAAATAGCAGGATGGCTGTTCTTAATAAATTTTGAAACAAAGCATTGGAGTTTAGTGGTAGTAAAATATCTTAAAAATGAAACTGCTGAATGTAGCTAAGATTTACCGTACCACTTGCGTGAAAGAGCCACTATGCATATAGCTACAGCTTGAATGGGTCGGCTCGATCGTGGAACGACTACGCGCAGACAGAAAACCCACGTAAAATGCAGTATAATACTGTTGTGTTTTGTATAGAAAACCAGAAACCCGTTTGCTGGTAACAAGGAATTCCTTATTAGTCCTTGAGTGGTGACAACTGTGTCTGGTTCTTAATAGACCTGTGGCCGTGGTAGGAAAAGGGGAGATCTCCCGCCGGGCAAGGTGTTCTGCCCGGGGAGCGGCCAACACTCCGCGTGATAGTTTTTTTTTTGCGCCCGAAGCAAATATGGGTAACCCTCCGGAAAGCGGGGGAGGGAGGCGGTGAATGATCATAGCATACCACGCGGCCGGCTGCGTGGTTATGTGGAGACTTTTACCCACTAAACACCGCCTTTTAGAGATTGGCTTAACGGTCTAACTAGAGATCTCTAAGCCGTATACGAACGCGACCCTCCTTGGCAGAAAGGAGGGCGTGATAGTTCGGAGATATTCTATATAATATACTGTTTATGATTCGGTATGTCGATAGCGTGAATTAGGCTTCGGTGTTTTTCGCTCGGCGCGACGACAGCGCCGCCACAGACCATTAACCATCAGGTGAACTTTTCACAGTGTCTTAGTAAAAAATATCTTCTCTAAAATCTGACCATTGACGAAGCTTTTATAGCTTATTAACTTTTATATTTATCACAATTGGATTTGCGGGTAAAACCCCGCTTTTCGCGCGGAAAATAAAAGAAGCCTAAGTTACTCCTTATAACATCAGCTATGCCAGTGGAAATTCCGTCAAAATCCGTCCAGTCATATCGGTGATTAGCCGGAAAATACAGACATACACACAGACAGACAGACAAATATTTTAAAGATTGATTTTTTATGTTAAATGTACCATATATATTTTGATTTGCATTTAGTAAACCTTAACAGACACTTCAATTTCATTTATTTGTATATGTAGATATTTCAGCTTTTGATATATCATTGATATATCCCGAATATAGGTTGTCTTGTGCAGTTATTTTATATATTTGCAGTTTAAATACAACAGATGACTAGATAATTTCGCTAAAGTTACTTACAGTGCAGATAAGTAAGCCTCTTCTGGCAGCTCTAAATTGCTTAAAAACCTCCATTCTCTGTTCATGAGGCATAGACCCGTGAAGACTGAAAACATCCAAATCCACTGGAACCAAGCCACCTTCTTCTGGTGAGTTATACTCCATTTCAAAATCCGAATCCGAATTTTCTGATGATGCCGATTTATCCTTATCGAAAAATATGTTACAATTACTTTCCAAGCGTTTGCCAAGCTTTGACATTAGTTTCATAACATTGCAAATTCAAAATAATAAACAAAAACTATTATTAATAAGTGAACTACATTGTTTTTTCACCCCTTTTTTATTCGCAGGTGATTAATATTTTATACTAATATCAGTCCTCCACGCCGAATTACACACGCTAGTCTCAGCGGACGAACTAGCCATCTACGCAGGACAGAATTAAAGCGCACGAGTATATATGCGCAAACACAGGTGCACTCGCTATTTACTGACTCATAATCCAATGGGGGGGGGGGGGTAGCTTGACACGTCTAGGGAGACTAGAGAGAAGTTAAGCGCAGAACCAATGTTATTACGTGGTTTTATGGCACGGGAGTGAAACACAGCCAACTTAACATGGGGGGCTACTTAGAATTTCTTCAATTTAGAGATTTATACTCGACCTGGGATTTCAACCGAGTACTACATGATCAGCAGTAGCGCTTGTGACCACGTGACCAATGAGACAGTCATTTTTTAAAATACTATTGTAATGTAGCTGCGCTTGAAACTTTGTATGCATGGAATTATCTTTAATAGTTTGCAGTGTTTCAACCAATTCCGTTGGATTATCCTATTTCTAACATGTATTTACCACATTGAGAGCGGAGCTAAAACACTGAATCGGAATTAATCATCTCACGCAAACTATCGTTTAATTCGCCGTGAGTTTAGTTTAAAATTTGTGAAATTATTTTATTTTTAATTAATTTAAGTCAGCTTTTGCAAAAGTATTAAAACTTTAATATTTTTTTCGTCAGCTAATTAAATCAAATATGTGCCTCTCCTATTTTAAAGTGGATATTCCATGATAGCCATGCTTGACAGATGCTCGGTCATAGGCAGTCGTACAGTTTTGACACTGCTCTTTTTTTTATTTGTCTTATGATGTAAAACAGAATTATTAAACTCATACCTCATTTTCTTCACTGTCATCATTATTAGGCTTTCTCTTCTTTGCGTTTGCCGTTTTATTTTTTGCAGCTTTCTTTTTAACTTTAGCTTCTTTGCCTGTCAGTACCGTTTCCAATAATTCTGAATGATAATCCACCATTTCTGTAGTTGCCATAAACACTATCATTTTACCACCTTTCTTGTTCAAAACACAATGTTCAATAATAAGAGAGCATAGAGTCACTAGTCTTAGTTTCATTGGAACAATCAAAAATTTCTGATTCACTGTAGCTGGTAAGACTAACTCATCTTCAACTACCGCTGTCTTCAGTGCCTCAGCAAAGATATTTCCTGTTTCGGCCGCTTGTGTTTCTTCAATTTGTTCTACCTTTTTAGGATTTTTAGCTTCCAATTCTTTTTGTACTTTAAAATATTCATAATCGGAATCACTATCACTGTCAATTCCATTTTTGGAAACAACATTCACTGAATTCTCTATCTTTTTATCTTTATCATTATCTTGTAGATTAAGATGGTTCAATCCCTTAAAAGCTTTTAAACCTAAAACAATCACCTGTTTTAACAAGTAATTTAAATATGAAATTAATACAAATTATTATTTAAATTACCTCTCCTGATTTCATAGTTATTAATAGAAGTATCATGATTAGTTATTTTTTCCTCTTCTGCTTCTGCTACCGTGTTGTTAAATGGGGTTTCTGTGTCGCTTTTCACTTTATTATTTACGTTTTGCTCTTTATTATCGACAACTTCATGCTGTTTTAATGAATCTGCTACCAGAACTTTTCCTTCTGATGTGTCAATAAAAACAGGATTTTGCATAGTAATACCCGCCAAATGTTCTACTGCCTAAAATAGGAACACAAATTCAAAATTGATTGTAGATAGTAATTTGATTTTAAAATTATAAAAATGTAATAACCTTTGTGAGAGTTGCTGATAACAAAATCGTTTGTCTTTCCTTTGAAAGAAACACTTCAGTCAAATAATGTTTCACTTTGCTTTCTTCTACACTCTCATCTAAAATTTTCGGTGCTTCATCATTTGTTACATTCTTTTTGACAGTTTGCTTTATGAGAGCTATGGGATCATAAGTTGCAGCCTTTTTGTGATCTTCTATAGCTTTTACAATAGCTGCTACATCTTTTTCATAACCCATATCCAACAAACGATCAGCTTCATCCAGAACTAAACAGCTGCAATAAGCTACATAAATAACATAATGCTGCTGCTTTTATGCTAATGTAAAATATAATAGTTAGTATAAAAATATATAATATTTACAATCAACTGTCACTTGGTCATTGTATCATGGCTATGTTCATCGAAATTTGGTGAAATGGATCATAACGTGGTAGAGCCATGCTGCAATTATATTAGTAGTATAGTTGTAGCACGAATGGGTCGGCTCGACCGGGGAAGGACCACGCTCTCACAGAATACCAGCGTGAAATAGTAGCTTAATGCTGCTGTATTTCGTATGGTGAGTGTAGAGAACCGGAGACCCTTTTTACTGGAAATGAGGCATTCCATCTCAGTCCTCACGGGTGACAACGCATCTGCATTTTGATTTGTAATGGAAGATAGATGTAGATGTCTATGGGCCGCAGCAACCACTTACCATCAGGTGGACTGTGTGCTCGTTCGTCACCCTATCCTAAAAAAAAAAAAAAAATTGTCCATTTCTATTTTAGGTTGAACCAAACTGCAGCATAATAAGTCCGCAGAACGAATGGGGTACTCTGATCATGGAAGGATCACGCGCTCACAGAATTTAAATTTTTAATTAGAGACTACACGCTGGTGAGTTTTATATGTTGAGGATTGATGACTGTAATGAGGCATTCCATGATTGTCATCAGGGGTGACAATGTAATTATTAATCAAGGATAGATGTAGTAATTTATGGGCTACAGCATCCACTTAATATCAGGTTGGCTATATGCTTACATGTAATCATTACTCCCATAATGGAGAGGAGTAATTTTAATAAAACACTAGCTAAATAACTCAATTTTTGGCAACATTACAGTGACAAAGTGCCTTATTTGTGCTTTTAGTCTTTCCTTATAGTCATTGAATTTTACAAGCCTACTTTATATTTCATTAATAATATGTAAGAAATATTTAGACAGTAAAACTTATTTATAATTACCCAGTTTTGGCAAAGTTTATAGAATGAGTATGCCTCAAATGGTCGTTAATTCTACCCGGAGTGCCAACCAATATACTGAGTCCTTTTCGTAGTCTCGCTTTTTCTGCTTTTCGTTTTTGCCCTCCACTAAGAAGACCGGGTACAATCCAAATGAAAGGCTTCAATTAAAAAAAAAACTTAATTTAAATAAACTAAAAAGGATCAAGGAAGGAAAAAAGGAAAGGAAAGGAATTTATAAGTAAATATTTTTTATTGACATTTGGATTGGTACATGTGTTCCGGCAGAATTAACATAAAGACACAATTTTTTTTATAAAAACCAAATCATCATTACTAAATTAGTTAAAATTTAAATGCTGTTTAATTTAACAAACATGTAATCGTCATTTTAGATGTTTCACAAATACATAATATAATTTTTGGCTTACCATAATGAACATTTTAGACTATAAGTAATTGATTACTTTCTGATACTTTCAAAGGTTCTAATTTTTCATGTTTCTGTTACACATATAATGATGACTATAAAAATGAATAAAATTATTTCGAAACATTTTTTTATTCAGCTAAACTAAATTAACATCACAAATTTAAAACTTACCTTCACTAGCTTAACAAATAATTCATATGTTTGAACCGCTAGCTCTCTTGTTGGTACCACAACAACAACTCTTATACCGTCATGTCTGTTTATTTTTGGTCTAATAGCCTGTAAACCTTCTATAATAGGTAATGCATAAGCCAAAGTTTTTCCCGACCCTGTTTGTGATCTAAAACGAAAGCAATTATTGCTTATAAAATAAATAATAGTTGTCACAACTGATTGAACCAACCATACCATAACCAAAAAAAGCTATAATGCTGTCCACTACTGATAGATGTTCCCAATGTATGGAATATCACACTCACAGAAAATTCAGCAACTACATTACCAAACAATCACCATATAAAGATTAGGTACACTGCTATCTATCACACAAAATGTGGTCTTGTGTGACAGAAAAAGATATTATTGTAAACATTTCTCTTAATCAATTTTTAAATTTTTTAAGGCATAAGGTGGTGATGGTTAACACAATTAAATAAAGAACTATTACAGGTCTCGCTTTATATACCAAATTCATCATCATCATCATCATTACAGCCCTTCACAAGTCCTCTGCTAAACAATGGCCTTGGGTTAGCTATAGATATCCGGTACTTTATTTTAATAATATTTTTAGTCTAGGAGGCTTGTTAGGGTTAAACATGAACCTATTTTCTATAATCATAATCTAATTACGACGAAATTTTTTTTCCAATAATTGCATATAATGAAACGCAAATATGTCAATTTGTTTTTTTTTAACACAGATACACCCATAAAAAGTTTATCACTCGGACCCAGACAATCCATTTTTGGCTAAATATGGGACTCACATATAACGAATTGAGCCGCAGTGGAGAGCAGGCAAGAGGTTTTTCAGAAAACAAAATTATAACAATTCACATTAGATTGTTTCATTTACCACTATCATAGCAGAGTTGAGGGCAACCTAACTTTATAGATAATTATTAGATAATTTTTGATTGGTTGAATCTGTTCTAAAACTGAAACAGCACACTCCAACTTTTTTATAGGATAGGATGACAAACGAGCACACAGTCCACCTGATAGTAAGTGGTTGCTGTAGCCCATAGATATCTACATCTATCCTCGATTACGAATCAAATTGCAGTTGCATTGTCATCCATGAGGACTTAGGTGGAATGCCTCGTTTCCAGTAAAAAGGGTCTCAAGACTTCACATAGTCTTGTCTGCCCTACCCCAAGTGTTTTTGTAAATCTTTAGGCGTCGAGAGAGAGCAGCCCTCGCCATGAGTGCCAGTAATTTGTTACGCAACGGCGAAGGGGCTGCACTTCCCACAGCGCCGAAGCTGTTGCTGAAGTAATTTTAGGTCAATATTCTTGCGTAAATGTGATGTTATGATTATACAAAAAAAAACATTACTCATAAACTATATATTTCCGCAATGGGGGAAGGATAGGGGGCTTGCCCTGAACCCTACCCCTCCCCCCAACACTCCTCCCACAACCGTACGCAAGTACCGTATGTCTATAGTTTTACCAAGGCCTCCTCCAAATAATGCCACAAAGCATTTATGATCCTGAGCCACCTGCATCCATCAACTACCTGGATGTCTTACCAGGTTCACTTCATTTATGGCAAGTTCACAATCTACTAATGTCTAATGTCAACTATATAATTTACAACAAAATATACATAACAACAGCAACATAAATAATAATGTCTTCTAGAGTGAATTTGGGTCACGGTGGACAATTTCAATGGAGACTAGCCATATATACAAAACAGGATTATAGCAACTACAAGTATGTGCAAGCACAGGTGCACTCTAATATTTTAGTCTCATAGTGCAATGGAAGGAAATCTGATACAACAAGAAAATCACAGAGATTGAAATTTCTTCTTATCAACTTGAATATTATATTGAATAAGTTATAACCTTCACTGTAAACATAATAAGCTATGTGGTATTGGCGTAAGGAGTTTCCATTACCCCATTTTTGTTCCATGGATGTTGTTAAACACAACTATAGTCTACCACTACGTATAAAACAGAAAGATCTCAAGGCTTCTGTTAGATTGTGTTATAACATTTTTTACCCCAGTAGTACAATACTATGGCCATGGGCAAAACAATATTTAATGTGTGAGATATCTAGTACTGTGGTGCATGCCAAGCGAGATAATTAAGGCAAAACCTTACTACAACGGAAAAGATCCATATCTTTTACAGGTGAAAAAGGAAAATGAAGAACATATTTTTTGTTAAATATATTATGCTTATTTCATCAGCACATAATTGATTACAAAACATTTCATTAGGCTTAAAAAGTCATAAAATATCTTACCTAATTAAAACATCTCTGCCTTGCAGTATGACTGGAATAGCATTTTGCTGTACTGTCATAAGCTGTTTTAAATTCAAATTTTGATGTAAATTTGCAACACTATGAGGATGAAGATCCAAATCTAAGAATGTCTGACCAGTAAACACTTTTTCTACTATTGGTTTAACTGCTTTCTGACCAATACGAGGTACATCAGGATTGTTTTTAAACAAAGAAGAAATCCAACCTCCACTTCTAGGTTTTTGTTTAATTTGCAAGTCGTCAATAAGCTGCTGATAGTTTTTCTCTTTAAATTTACCTTTATTTTCACTTAGATCTCTCAAATTTGACTCCAAGTCTACTGATTTTACATCTGGAGTGCCAGATACCTTGGCTACCTTCAGTTGTGGCTCTTCAGAATTTTGCATAGAAAACTTCGTATTACGTGCATTTTGTGGTCTCTTTCTTGCTATTATTTTACCACTAACCACAGGTTTTGATAAAAATTTGTACTCTGAAGCATTTTTTTGATTTATACCTGACTTTTTATTTCTATTAATCTAAAAAAAAACATTAAATATTATTTTATATAATGCATTAAATAGTATAATCAAGAAACCACAACTTACGCACCGTTTTGGCAGCAGATATATTTAATTGTAAATCATCCATTTGCTTGACAGGTTTGTACCTATATCGTTTCCCAAATTTATTTCAAATTTAAATAAAAAATAAAACTATTACGATTGAGGTTAAACTCACGCCTTGTTGTTGACATCGACTGACATTTGACATTTATTGTCGTACGATTTGCCTATTAAGACAGGCAAAAGTCATACAGCCTAAAGCCAGCAAAGAACATACAGCCTAGAACCACCTATACCCATAGTTAGTTTTTCACCCAATTATTTACAATATGCTGAATGCTGATACGAAAAATAAAATATAGCGAAGTTTTTGGAAGATTTGATTGAAAATTTAGCCCAGCAGACGGTTGATAGTGATAGTATCTACAAGCTCAAGCCACCCACGCGGATAAAGAATTTCTTTTAACTGGCTCAACCTGAGGTGTGCGTTCTCATACTTTAACATAATTATTTCAAATCGTACACTTACACTTACTTACACGTACACTTGATGTGATAATACCGACTATGCCTTAAAGAAACCGCACTGACTCTTCTATATTTTGCAGCAAATAATATAGCAGGCGTTCTTCATACTTAAGTTATTTTAAAAAAGGACGTATAAATGTATACTAAATATAAGTAAGTCTTATACTACTAGTTTGATCGATAGTTTTTAGGGATAGGACACTTATAAATGAGTATAATGATGCTCAGTGCTCTCACTAGTGAAAAATTCGATCCCTTATGGACTGCCAGTATACTGTCGCAGTACCCTAGGGAAATACATAACGTCATAAATCGCCGCCATTTTTTACTGTGAGTCAGTACTTTCGAGGTAAGGTATTCTCAGTACTTTAGTCACGTGATCAAAAAAATATAACAGCGCCTAGAGTTTGGAATTTGATTCGTATGGTAGAAACTCGAAATTCGTACGGTTATTAAATATTTCTGCAAGTAACAGACTTATTATACTACTGCGTATGAATGACTTGAAAATGTTTTCTACAAAATGTGTTTTCGAAGAACTATCTGCTTTGGCAGACTCTGCTCCATCTTACTGTGGCATACTGGTGCGCTGAATTTAAACGGGACGAAACCGCCTGCAATGATGGCACTTGCTCCGGACGAACAACAACAGCAGCTACGTAAGAAAACTTTAAAAAAATCGAAGAAATTGTTAAGGTGGATCGACGTGACCATCCGTTATTAAGCTAAGATTCTAAAGCTTTCGTTTTAGACATTTCAGTTTATTTTAACTCATACCCTTAAAATTAGGTTGCTGCGCGTTGGCTCCCTCTAATGTTAACAAACGCTCAAAAGAAAGCAAGAGTTGACATTTCCAAGCTAAATTTAGCAAATTGTAGGAGGTCCGGATTCTTTTTGTGCTCGTTTTGTAACCGTAGGTAAAACGTGGGTACACCATTTTGACCAGAAGACGAAAAACCAAATCAAGGTGTGAAAAAGACCGTCTTCCCCGCCTGCCAAGAAGTTAAAGGTGTCTGCGTCCGCTGAAAAATATTAGCTCGCGGCCTTGCAGGCCGCGAGCCCTGTGACAAGATGAAGCTGTAAGAGTCGTATAGACTAACAGCATTAACAACAAGATAATAGATGCTGAAAAATAATGGCCTCTGTCTTCTGGGATGCGCAAAGTGTAATAATAAGCGACGATTTAAGTAAAGGTGAAACAACAAGCGGAGATTATTACGCATCATTAATCAAAAAACTACGCGAAAAACTAAAAAAATTAACATCGAAGAAATTTGCGTGCTGGAGTACTTTTGATCATGATAATGCAACATCAAATCGATGGGCAGGGGCCATTTGATGTTGCAGACGCTACCATCCGAACTGCTGGGTTTTAGTTGATGCAGTATACACCATATTCTCCGGACCTAGTTCCGAATGATTTTTACCTTTTTTATTCACCTGAAAAAGCACTTGCGTAATATAAAACTCGACGTCGACGATAAGGTGATGTGTACTGTAGAGGCATTTTTCGAGTCCCAAGATGAAGCCTTTTTTTTCCAAGAGAGTAAACCAATTTGCAAAACGCTATTCAAAGTGTATTAGCTTAAAAGGTGATTACGAAATATAATTAACATATACTTATATCACAGTTTCATTGAGTTTCCAAAAAATAATTGATCAACCTAGAAGAGTTAGTAGAGCCATGCTGCAGGTATATTAGTAGTATAGTTGTAGCACGAATGAGTTGGCTTGACCGGGGAAGAACCTCGCTCTCACAGGATACCAGCGTAAAATAGTAGCTTAATATTGCTGTGTTTCGTATGGTGAGTGTAGATCCCTTTTACTGGAAACGAGGCATTCCATCTTAGTCCTCACGGGTAACAATGCATTCATTTGCATCTGCATTTTGATTCGTAGTCGAGGATAGATGTAAATGTCTATGGGCCACAGCAACCACTTACCATCAGGTGGACTGCGTGCTCATTTGTCACCCTATCCTATAAAAAAAGCAACAATTTTGAATAAAACTTACGAACTACTCTACCATCTGGAGACGGCGAAGCCAGCCTTGCACTTTTTAACCGAGTAACCTAGGTACAAATTAAAACATTCGTTTGTGCCCCGGGCTGGGGTTTGTGTATACGTCAGAGAGCGTTGCAACATCTGTTACCGACGCCATGGCAGTCTTGAAGGTACGGACCTGTCCATCCTATGGCTGCGCGTAGACAGCGACGACCATCCCCGCGTCTACGGGTACCTCTATAGGTCCCATAGCAGTAATACTGAAACAGACCGACTCCTTGACCACGTCCAAATGACTACAAATTCCTACGTGAATTCTAGATGTGGAAAATCATACACCTTCCCTGTTGGACTTTTTGCTGACCTCTCATCCGGACGGATATCAGGTTTCCGTTGACGCCCCTTTACGCTACTCAGTAAACACCAGCGCTCTTAAAAAGAAGTATAATTCCGCCTCTAGGTTCTTCAAAAGAGTCATTGCCAAGGCAAGGTCTGAGCACATCGGCAGAATTGGCAAGAAGCTACTTCGCCTTCCTTCGGGAACCTGTGCATTCTGGTCTCTCGCCAAGGCTGTCCAAGGGAAGTTCTATCAGTCATCTCTTCCATTTTTGTACAGAGAGGACGACTCACTGGACCATGCCACAAAGGAGAAAGCCGATCTATTAGGGTCTCTCTTTGCGTCTAACACCACTCTCGATGACGGGGGGAAAACACCGCCAACCATCCCGTGGTGTGATTGCTTCATTCCGTATGTGCGGTTTACACAGCGCTCGGTTCGCCAGAGCAATGCTCACCCTGGACGTCAGTAAGTCGAGTGGGCCTGATGGAGTCCCTCCCATTGTGCTGAAGACGTGTGATCCGGAGATGGTACCGGTTTCAACGCGTATTTTCCAGTACTCCTACTCCCAAGGCGTAGTCCCGAATTCTTGGAAGACATTTTTGGTCCACCCGATCCCTGAAAAAGGCGACCTCTCAGACACGTCCAACTACAGGCCTATCGCCATCACATCCTTGTTCTCCAAAATAATGGAGTCTATTGTAAGCTGCCAGTTCATGAGGTACCTTGAGGATCATCAGCTGATCAGTGACCGCCAATACAGTTTTCGTCGTAGTCGATCAGCTGGTGATCTTCTGGTCTACCTTACTCATAGATGGGCGGAGACAGTAGAGTTCAAGGGGGAGGCATTGGCTGTAAGTTTGGACATAGCGAAGGCCTTCGATCGGGTCTGGCACAAAGCGCTTCTTTCGAAGCTCCCTTCTTTTCGAAATTTTGCGATTAGATCACTAGTTTTCTTGCTAATCATCAAGGTCGTAGTAGACGGTATATACTCTGATTACAAGCCAATTAGCGCTGGTGTTCCACAAGGCTGCGTGCTATCACCGTCGCTGTTTCTTCTGCATATCAATGATATGTTGCAAACTGATAACATTCATTGCTATGCAGACGACAGCACTGGTGATGCCTTATACACTGACCATGCCAATATTTCTCGGGAAATCGTTGCCGAGTACTGGGACAAACTTGTGTCTTAAGTCGAGTCTTTGCTTAACAAAGTCTCGGATTGGAGGCGACTAAATCTAGTCCAATTCAATCCCCAGAAGACACAGGTTTTCGCGCTAAAAAGAACCCTTTAGTCATATCTCCTCAGTTTGAAGGCACTCCCCTTGCTGCCTCAGCTAGCATCAGAATACTCGGCGTCGACATATCGAATAATGTGTAGTTTCGTGATCACTTGGAGGGGAAAGCCAAATTGGCCTCTAAAAAGCTTGGCATGCTCAGCAGAGCGAGACAGTATTTCATGCTGGCATATCGCTTGCAACTTTACAAAGTGCAAGTTCAGCCTCACATGGATTACTGTTCTCATCTCTGGGTCGGGTGACCACTGGGGTGATGCAGCTCAGTTCCTCCCATTTGACCGCATCCAGCGCAGAGCGATTCGAATCGTCGACGACCGAGTTCTTTCTGATCGGCTCGATTCACTGGCGCTGAGTAGGGATGTTGCATCTCTTTGCGTTTTTTATCGTATCTACCATGGGGAGTGTTCTGAGGAATTGTTCGGATTAGTTTATTTAATTTAATAATAAATTATCAACATTTGTCGTCAATTTTTTAAGGGTTAATCTTAAATCTCCTCGGCTAATGATGTCCAGTCTGTTTCTTTTTTCGTTAGGAGGTTGGTAACAGCGCTGAACCCTCTTTCCACTAGGTATGACGATGGAAAGGAAATTAAAAATTTCCTCGCTATATTCCATAATACGGGATAAGTAACGGGTATATTGTTTTGCAGCCAGAATTGCTGATGTCCGCTTTTAAACTGAACCTTAAATTCTTCGTTTGTACTTAGTTCAGTCAGTTCCTCTTGTATTATGACATTCGTTTCTTCTATGTCACCATATGGATTAAGTATCGTTAGTGGTATTACCATAGTCAAACTATCCTCAAACCTAGATTCAAAATCTGAATAGAGGGCATTTAAATGTTGAACGTAAGTTGAAACGTCGTCTTCCTGGCAGCTTGTCTGTGACAAATTGGGGAACTGAGAAAATTCGCCC